GCTTTTGTTACATAACAGCACCGTAAAACCAAAACCAAACCGATTGCCGTTGAGTCAATTCTGACTCACAGCGACCCTACAGGACAGAGTAAGGAAGTATATGTGAACTGCACACGTTTAAGTTATTATTTGTTAGATAAATAAACGAAAGATTCAAGTATTAGAGAATGTTTAATCATTCAATTCACAAGATGAATCTTGGTATCTTGGAATTTTTTCATGATCATCACTAGTCTGTTATGGCACAAAGTACTGTCACACATAAACCAAAATATCCCCATTAGGACAGATCTCATAGAATTTTTATTCTAGTATCTAGAAAAAATTTCAGATGGATTGAGTACAAGCGGATGTTCTGTTCGATATCACAGAAACTAGTAAATTGAAAATAAAATTAACATGAAAAATTAAAAGAGAAAAAATGGTGAACAATTGTTCCTGAATATTTATTTGGTGAACAATTGTTCCTGAATATTTATTTTGTTATTATTTTCCCGAAGCTGGAATTTTTTTTTAACTTTTTTTTTTAATTGTACTTTAGATGAAGGTTTACAGAACAAACTAGTTTCTCATTAAACAGTACACATACTGTTTCGTGATACTGGTTACCCGCCCCATGACATGTCAACACCTTCCCTTCTCGACCTTGCATTCCCTATACCAGCTTTTCTGTCCCCTCTTTTAACTTTTTTCTTCTTTCAAAGCAGGAACTTTTTAATGTCTAAAGCCAATGACACAGTGGGCTCAAACACAGCAAAGACTCTGAGGATGGTGCTGGACTGCGCAGTGTTTCCTTCTGTTATACTTAGGATCACTACGAGTCGCAACCGACTCAACAGCACCTAACAACAACAAACTAAGCAATTATAATAAACTCCATGGAAAGTAGTGTAACTCATATTAAGTTAATCCAACAAATGGAAAACCTAATTGTATAGGCCAGATAAAGAGGGAGTAGATTTTTAAGGATCCAGAGTCAGGTCATTTTAAACAAGCATTACAACTGAGTTTAAAATGCAATTTATCTAAAAAAAAATATTTATATGTAACTTTTCAGAAACTAATCTATAATACAATGAGTATAGTTGATTTATATAGTTGAGTACTACAGTGAAGTAAAATGATTTAACCATCACTATATTAAACAATGAAGCCCTGATGGCGCAGCGGTTAAGAGCTATGGCTGCTAACCAAAAGGTCGGCCGTTTGAATCTACCAGCGGCTCCTTGGAAACCCTACAGGGCAGTTCTATTCTGTCCTATAAGGTTGCTATGAGTCGGAATCGACTCGATAGCAATGGGTTTTATTAAACAACAAAATCATGAGCATGCTTGGAGGAACTTTCTCTGTGACTGTTTTCTTTAAAAAGAATTGCTTTTATATTTTGGTGAAGTGTTTACTTTTGCATGTAGATCAAGTCTTGGTCCCACAAAAATTAGAAAACATACTTCTGGCCAAAATACAGTTTCATAGCAAAAAACTGGGGGAGTATAATGAAAATCCAATGCGAAGTTCAATTCAATTCTCCAATGTTAGCAACGTTAAATATAAATCATTGTGGTTTATCAAGTGAATGCCTGATATTTTAAAAAGAGAGTATAGCAAAGTAGTTAAGAATGGGGCTTTGGAAGTCAAACAGACCTGAGTTTGAATTCCAGCTCCACCACTTCATAGCTAAATGAAGTGATCTCTCTTATCCTTACTTTCCTCATCAGGGAAACAGGTGATTCCTGTTCTGAAGATAAGATTAGAGAATTCCTTAAAAACCATCCCTGACATATTTTAAGTGTTCAAAAGAAAATGTCAGCATATATAAAGTAACAGATATTTGGGAAGCAAGTAAGAACAGAAATGAAATTCCTTTTTCACAGTGTTACCAAGAAACATTTTTAATAAAAAAGAGTTTATACTCATAGGTTAAGAGTACATGACCTTAATAACACACACATATATACATACACACACTCTTACTTTTCCTGAAATGCAGGTTTATAAGGACCTGGTCATTTATAAAACTAAGAGTTTTCTAATGCACTTTGTCCCCCTAGCTAATAATCAAAAAATGAAAACTAAATAAACTGCAAACATTTCTCAGTACTGAAGAAGGCTATATACCTCTTCCAGGCTAGGCCTCTTAGGTCTTTCTTCAGGGAAAAAAAAAGAACCATTCTCTCCAATTTCACTTTTGCCCTAAGATTTCATGGTAAACTCATTTAAAAAACAAATAATTTATTTAATAGCTCTCAAGCTTTCTAAACCTTAATTTAAATAGCGTCATTTCTCCCCCAGATTATCTCTTCAGGTAATCTAAAGAGATAAAAAGTGCTTTTCATCCCCTAGGAATCCTTTAACAGTTAAATTCTATAGATACAAATACATTAACAGTTAAATTCTACAGATACAAATACATAGACTCATATTACATATTTCAATCAGCAAGACCAGAATTTTCAAAGACAAAATAAATGCACTTATGTATATATGATACATAAGAATAAAAAGTCTATAAATATTAGTCTTTTTTCTTTTGTATGTCATCCATTACATATTTGAAAACATACCTTCTAATTTAAGATTAGAAGAACATATATACTAATCTTAAACAAATTATTCCTTTTTATACCTTCTTCCAAACTAGAATAGGGTTTAAAAATAAATAAATAAAAGATGACCCTGGAAATCAGACCATTGCATCATACTTATCAGTAATACTGTGTATTTAGGTTTTCTTTTTTTTTTTTTAAATGTGGACTTTAATTCATTTATAATTGTGGCTCATGTCTGCAAGGAGATAAAGCAGTAGATCATTTAAAGATGATAAAGTCATTTAAAGGGAATAAAGATGACTTAAGTCACTGAATGTTAACACTACTCTTATGATGGTACAATTCCAGTTAAAAATCATCTCTCCTGAATTTGGGGCTTACCTGTGCATCAATATCAATGGCAGGGTAGATAGGAAGCATGGCTGAAGGAGAGATGATAGGACTTGGAGTTGGAGTCTGAGGTTGGGAAATGGAAGCAGCGATACTGTGGGTAGGAGTGTTGGACATTGCAGATGCTCTTCCACTGACTGCTGTTGAACAAAATAACTGCACTTAATAAGGATGAAACATAGTTAGGTAACAGTAAGAATTAATTATTATAAAATATTTAAAGACTTTCAAAAACAGTATCTCTACAGGGAGACTGCCATAGCACTAACAACTCATTTTCCTAGCTTTTTTTGATTTTGGATGATAGTCCAAAATTAAAACGTACACTGAGAGTAACCCATTTCCTAAATAACCATCTGTTTGAAAAACAAATTCCCTCTTAAGCTATGTAGTCACAAAATCTTAATTCAAAAGAACTGAAAATAAAAATATATTCACATATTAAAATCAAATATAAATGCAAATGGAAAGCTGTCCATTATATCTTCTTAATTAGAAAAAGAATAGAAGGTAAAACAGTTTAAGTTCAGAAGAGGAAAAATGTGACTTTTTAACTTGCCAATTTCACACCTTATATTCTAGAACTAATGAAAGTAGTATCACCGTTTGGAAGGGGAGAATTCTGTTACCTAACCATTTAAAACACCTCCTACTATTTTACTAACTGTGGATTTGAGGAAAATAATATTCTGTATCGTAGCCCTCAGTATGACAAGATATCCATATACAAAGATTTGATCCTGACACAGAAATGTGGTTCCTCACATGAAGGACTACTCTGAGGGGGGTAACATGTCCACCAATCCAGCAATGACACTGACTTCAAGGACAAAATTTAAAAATTAGGGCAGAAATAAATGTATTCACATAATCATCTTTCAAATATGGATTATTGTTAGTTCTTCTATGTATGATTTTGCCATGATATTGTTTCCAACAAAATATGCAACTTAAGAAGGGGCTAACTGGGTCAGTACTCAAAGTGGGAGAATTCCAAAGGTGGTGGCATACAATATACTGTAGATTCACTTGAGGGTACTTGTCCCTCATCAACTCACTTCTAGAATTGATATGTGAATGTCATTCCATTTTCCCCATTATAGTATTAAAGTATGGGCATTAATCTTTGAATAATCAACAGTAGTGTGGATGTGTGTTACCAACAAAGTTATCAACTACATCAGACAGAAAACAATCATGATTCACAACTGGATCTCAAACTAGCAAATCAGCAAAAGAAGTTATGATCCTGCCAAGAACAAAACTGAAATTGATCTTGGTTATAACAATTATAAACATGATTGCCAAATTAAGAAATCTATTTTACATGAAATCCTTAGTTCAGGCACAAACATACACTATACATTATAGCAACACACATTCTGTAATTATACATTCTTAAGTCCACTTAAAAGCCAAAGGAAAAACAAAGAAGGAAACAAAACAAAACACTGAATTCTTAGAGGTCCCAAACAATAGAAAAGGGCACGTACTAATATACTAAATTGATCATCTAATGACCTTGATATTGTTACTCCATATTGATAGCTTTATATGTTAAGAAAAGAATCAAGGTAATCATATCAAATCTAGAGTTCTAAAATAGACTCCAGATTCTTCTTTGATTGGATTTACACAAACGTAAACGCTAAATACAAAATGCAGCTTAAACAGGATGTCCAAAGCACTGATTTTTATTTTATGACAAGTAAAAAATCCGAGCTTTACTGTTAAATGACTAAATTATTTTTGACATTTCAATGGGAATAATTTCTTTTAAATCTACTAAAATTAGAGAATTTTCTTACTTTGGTCAAATTGGTTCTTACCACCTTATCTGAAAGGAGACAGGAAAAATCAATTTCCCTATTTCACTTCCTTTGGGGTACCTATGAAATAAAACTGAATAACTACATCTGACACCCATACATTCTCTACAATTAAAAGAAACAACTGTAAATATGTAGGTACCTGAAGAAACTCTGGTACCTTTGTACGAAGTCATTTTAGGGTTAGATTTTTAGAGAGGGAGAACCACATGCTCAGAAAACTTTTAACATAAGAAAGGGAAACTTGAGACCACAGCAAAGGCAAGGTGTTAAAATTGGTTGAACAGGAAATTGATTTTGCTTTGGCAAGTAGGAAGAACAGGGAAGGCAGAAGATTTTGGCCAGCCAAATACTAGAGAAAAGAGATGGAACTTTAAGACAGCAAGCTAACAAACGGGAGCTAAGGAATAAACAGCAAAGGCTACCCTGGAGGAAGGGAAGGAAGAATATGAATCTAATAGGCTATAATGAATTAAGAAACCCAAAGAAGGGAATGAAAATGGTTATTCGTCAACTGAAAGAGTAAGTATTACCATGGACGTTTAAAGAACGAGGCCTTGGAAGTAAGTGAGTTTTTGTGTATGTGTGTGCACCTACACATGCATGCTAAGAGGGATGAGTTCCAGGTAGGTAGCTGGATGTTTTTATCCTATTCTTCTGGCCCTCTCTCCTCTCCTCATATAAATGAGCATAGTAAAGAAATAAAGTATTTTTATATTATGACAAGTATGTCATATTTCCTGAAAAATTATGTGATTTTTAAAAAAAATTTTAATGTGAACGCTTGGAACAAAGATACATAGAATTGTTTTAGTTTGTTATATGTGTCAACAGAAAAGCTACTTTAAACCCTTTTATAATTCTAATCAGCATAAAAATTATACAACTGACAAATATTGTTGACAGCTATCCCCACACACATCAGGTAAACTTTGACACCATATCAAAAAGTCTAAAAACAATCACTGGTATGGAATGTGCACTGTTCGTTAAAATGGATAAATAACTACACATTGTTTGGTAGTCTCAGTGACATAATAGAAAGGGCAACATTACATCTAGATTAACAGCCATGGAAGTAATATCAAATTTGGGATTCATGGCTACTATGAATTTAATTTTTTTAAACTTCATTCCCAAATATTATAAACAGCTAATGGTGATTAGTAGTAGTAATTCTCAAATCAATAGAAAAATTGTATACTTTAGCAATATAAGAACCTTCACAGATTTACCATTAATGATTAATAGCATTTTTTCCAATGTAGGTATTTCACCAGCTATTCATTTCACATATTACAATCTAGCTGATACTAAAAGAGGACTAAGATACTTCAGACAAATCTACAAGATCTGTCTCATTAACCAATGTCTTAGCTTCTGAATGCTAGCTAAATATCTAACCACTAGACAATTTAGTTTTCTCTTACTCCTTTAAAAGATGAAAGTCCAATTACATACATAATCTCTTTATAACATGTAATGCTACTGAAACATAATTTTTTAAATTTTAAAAATATAATTTTAAAATTACATATAAACAAAATAATAAAAGAGGAAGAGATCATATGAAAAAAAATTTGGAGGGTAATCTAATAGATAGGAAGAATTCAACTTTCTCGCATTAACTTATGACTTAATAACCATTACTTACTTTACTATGATATACTTTAGAAGGACAAACTAATTTTTTTTTAAAGAACCAAATGAGGATATTTCTAAAATTATCAAAATCCAATTACATTTACTTTCTTTGTTTTTCCTTTCCCTTCCTTTTCAATTTTTTTTTTAAATGAAGCAAGTTATCCTTCTCAGTATAGCATTCGTATGACTTACAACCCTATTAACTCTCATTTCACTACTTTGTTACACAACTCACAAAAAGTAAGTACCAAAAACTAGAAGCATCAAAACAACCTTCCAAAATATTTCTTCTTGCTAATGAAACTATGAAACTAATTATAATGGAATAAAATTTCTCTGGCTACACGTTTAAAAATATATCATTTATAACATTCTCAGGGGACCAAACCCTCCCATAATACTTCAGAGAAACTAGACATTAATATTCATAGTATAATTCAAACCCTATTTGGGTTGGTACTTTATTACTATTGTAAAGGTGTCTAAGTATTTTCTTTCTTTTTTTAAATATCCATCAGATTTGAAGTCTGATCCAATAGGATAAAGTATTTCTGTTCACAATAAAATTTCCTGATGTGTCCTACTAGTTTTGCACTTCAACGTCTATCAATTTCCCAGTTTACTGGTGTGAATACAAAAGTAAAAGCCAAAATTCAGTCTTAGTATTCTGAACTTAAAGGGAAAAAACAAAACAAAAATCAATCCCACTACTGAAATATCTAGATATTCACCTACTCAGCTAAGCCAGAAAGTTTCAGTCACTTTTTTTCAATGAGCTAACCTTTAATTCGACCTGTATCCTTCTGAGAACTTCTGAGATTGAACTAATATTTCTAAAGATATACAGGGGTCAAGAGTCCGAAAACAGTTCTCAAGTTGGGTAACGGCAAAAAACTGTGGCACACTCTTATTCGCCTTAAGCAAATCATATTTGATACCTGCTCATAACAATATAAACCCACCTGCCATGATGTCATCCAGCGTGTCATTGAGGGTCTGAGCAGGGCTGGCTACCATTAACCCTTGTTGTGTTTCTGTCAGAATTCCTTGCCCCAGCCCTGCCAACTGTGCTTGGCCCAGTACTGGCTGTCCAACTATCACTCCTTGCAGTTCTGTAAGATTTGCGATGGACCCTGGAGGTAAGGGACCTGCCGCCAGAGGCAAAGCTTGAGACATCGCCAGAGGCTGGATTGGTGCAAAACCCATCTGAGCAGCATTAGGCTGGGGTTCATCTTTAAGCAAAATGGGATCCACTTGCTGTAAGCGTGCATAGTCTCCCTCGGAAAGCTGTTCTCCAACCCCAACAGGAGTTAGCAGTCCCAGGTGTTGGCAAGACTGTTGCTGCTGCTGCTGAAGTTGAATTCTTTGAGCTTTAACCTCTAGATACTGCTTTTTTAGCTGCTGTTGAGTTTTCAGTTGTAATTCTCTTTCTACTTTCTGTAGCTCCTCCAAGATCTTTTGTTTCTTCTGAATTTGCTCCTCCCTCGTTTTGTTCAGCTCCTCGATCTTCTCCTTGGTAAGTTGGTCAGCGTGAGCCAGTTCCAAGGACTGCAGCTGTGCATTCTTTTCTATGGCTTCTTTTATCCTCTGTTCCAGTTCTGTTAACTTTCCCTGAGCCTCTTCTACAATGCTCTCTGGAGACTGATTGGTGATGTAACCCTGTACATCCTGGCTGTTTGCTGGCAAATGGCTGCTGGACTTTTGTTTAGAAGCAGCTGTGTGAAAAAGAAACCCCCTCAGAAGTGCGCATGAATGGCATCCTCATTACAGAGTTACTGTTGGGAGGTTTAGTGCCAACAGTTATGCACCAAGTTATCATATCCATAGAAGGTGTAAACGCACTGTTAAGGAGTTAAAAGCAAATCCACCTTCTTTATCATAAATATAAAATGTAGGGATTTTATGTGCATAGAGTAATGTTTGGAAATTAATTCAGAATTTAAAAATATCAAAAGGCTAAAATTAGACAACAGCGGGATGCAGATCTGCGATATCTAAGTGGTGCAATTAAAGCAAAATTTAGTGCTATGTGTAGATACTTCATCTGGTCATAAAGATGTAAAAACTCGTAAGAACAGAAAATAATGCTAAATTATTAAAGGGGGAATACTTAGACCTACAAGTCAAGGTTTTTCCACATTTTAGTAGTCTGTGCCTTTTAAACACATACACACACACACAGTACCCAAACCACTGAGAAATACCAAGAAATTAAAATCCACCTAAATGTATGTCTCTGCTGGGGCCTATCATCTTCAACACTGATAAAGGCAAGATATAAACTCACACATTCACACAGCTACCTGGACAGTAGAGAATTGGGATTTAGTTTCCCTGGAGGAAAAGATGCTGGACTACGCCATCCATTGTATCTTCTGACAGCCAGGTGAATAAACTGATCTGGCTACAGGTATAGCAATCAGTTGTTTTCTATACCAACTGAAAAAGGTGCCAAGGCTCGGTAGTAGTGATTGAAAACAGCTGATGGAAATACTTAGTATTCTTGTTCGTAAAAGAATATAGGTAGCCAAAAACCAAAAAATTAAAACCACATTGGATCTTCAGGTAAAACTTTTAAAAAGAAAGACTGATTGGAACTGGTTGTTGTAATGTATTGGGATATATCTTACAAACATGCATGGTGTTAAATCCACAAATCAAATATGGACCTCAGAAGTCTAGAGGAACAAACAAGCATATCTGAAGTAACTTTGAATTACTGGTTGAGAAAAGATATCCCAGATATAAAATCTGTATTAAACCAGTTACTCAAAATAAATTTTAATACTTGATCCAACTTGTTATCTTAGCCTTATATCACTACAGACATGTAAGTAATTTACAAAAATATCACCCAACTATACCCAGGCTAACCTTTTAACATGTATAAACTTACTAGTTATTAGAGAAAATCATGGATAATCAGAATTGCATCAGAGATGAGCATCTGAATATCTAATTCTAGCATAAATGCACTACTTTTAACTATCTCCTCTCCAAAAAACATTTTTTGTTGATAAAAAATCTTTATGCCAACTTAATAAATTTCATTTTTTGTGGAAAAATAATTCAGAATGGCTAATTTTTTGTAAGCTTATTGTTTTTACCTTGACAACACGTAAAACACAGTCTTTAGAAGCATAACTGACCTTTATTCCTGATGGGAAGAGTACTGGCAACATTGGCAGGTGGTTTGTCAGGCTCCTGGGGTGGGACAACCATGGGCAGTGCTTGAACTGGCACACGAGGAGCCTAAGATAAATGAACTAATTGATTATATTTCTTCTTTTCCTACACGTTTTGCTAAATAATGTTTTAAATAAAGAATAAATTACAGAGACTTATTAACATATTTTTAATATGACATTTATCAGAGAAACTGACAAATGTGGTGATATCCAATTATTGTCCATGATTTTTTTTAACGGACTTTGAATTCAAGTGGTCATTCTGAACATAATAAAAAAAGTAAAGCAAAATCCTATCATTCTAGAATCTGAATATTATAACAGATGTTCATTAACCACATCAAGTAAATAACCTTATCTGTAAAAGACTACATACTCTAACAAAAACTAATCAATCCAGTTTAAACTGAAACTATGAGTGAAAGGAGGATAAAGAAGAAACAGTACTATATGCGTTAGTTTTGAATCTTACCCTATTTAAATCGTGGGATGGGGGAGTTAACTGAGTGACATCTGGTGGAGGGGCTGAAAGCAAGTTATTAGGATAGTCCAAAAGATAGCAAACAACACTTGTATGGCCACCTTTTGCCGCTTCTATCAACATAGTTGAACCATCCTAAAACAGCAGATGTGAAAGAAGAAAAAATGGAAAATATTATTAGTTTATAGAATCTTTAGGAAGATAAAGCCAAGAGGCAACCACAAACATTGAAATCATGAGTTGTAAAGAACGCTTTCCTCTAATCAAATAGAAAAAAAATTAATAATTTAGGATGACATTATAAATGGAACTTGTAGATAATATTTTGCAATGTTCAAGCGTGAAGACTTCACAATGCTGCTTGAAATATTTGAGTTAACGCACTTTTAAACGGTGAGTAGGATCTGCCCCGTGAGCCAAAAGTAGTTCCACCACTGCCAGATGACCCCCTGCACAAGCCAGGGACAGTACAGTATGGTCATTATTAGCTGTGGTTCTGTTCACATTCGCTCCTAAAATAAACAAGGTGTGAAAAATCATGTTAGTATAGTATTTTTTCTTAAATTATGATAAATTTCAAAGTCATAAGGTGTTGACAGAATAGTAGAATAAAGGCCCATATACCCATTATCCAGCTTCAACAATTATAAACACACGGCTAATCTCATTTCACATATACCCACATCAACTCTCCTCTACCATTCTGAATTACTGTAAAGGAAACCCCAGTAGACATGACACAATTTCATCCTTATATATTCCAGAATGCATCAGTAAACAATAAGGATAAAAGTGTTTTATTCCTAATGCAACTCCTTTTTTAAAAAAAGCAGAATATGAAATTTGATCTACATTTTAAGTCCTTAGGTAGAAAAAATTATTAAAGACCAATAAAATATACATCACACTCCCCTACAGAGGCTAAATATGTATGTAGAGAATTAACATGGAATAGAAAATAAGAGCAGTACCATCTTTTCTCACTAAGAAATATCTGGGAATAAAAATAGATATATTTTCCCCCAAAACATGTATCTATCTCTAATTTCAATCACTGTGCTAGGCATTGTGAGAAATGGAAATAAAACAGAAGAAACTGGAGCCAAATCTATTAAAATAAACCAAGGAAGAGAAGGGATGGTGATTATACAAATAATTCCACTCACTCTTGCAAATACTGAGGTATAAATACACATCACAAGTAAAAGTGTTTAAATTGCCTACAATAAGTTGACCAGTGAGTTATTTCTGATATCTTATTTTCTTTATCTATTAACAATTACAAACTTGAGATTTCATTAGTATTTTTGGTAAGAAGGAAATGGCATATACTGTTATTTTTAAATTGTATATGGTTTACAGTCTTTTTAAATTCAACACTGAATCAAAATCTTACTGAATCAAAACTAATTTAATCTATATTTAAGAATATGATGAACCCTGGATGAAAAACTGTTTCAAATGACATGTATGTAGTAAAAACCTAAGAAATAATTTAAAGGAAGTAATACATATTCTAACGTTTTCATTAAGGTTGTTGGTATTCAAACTAGAATTAATGACCATGAATGAAAATATCCAAGCATTCTGCCGTATTTGTCACATCTTAATGTTGAATACTTTTTGTGCTGTATTTATAATCATCTCCCAATATTGTACAAAGAAGAAAACTTTGGCTCAAGGAAATATAAAGTTGGCAAGTGACTTGCTCCAAGTTTCTCAGTGGCAGAAATATCATAAAAACTCAGGTTTCAAAAAAATACTACATTACATAAACAGACTTTAAATCATCTCAACTCTAAAAGTTTTAGACAAAGAATTTTTTCTCTACAGAAGTGTTTCTCAGCAAGGGTGCTGCTCAGTATGACAATTCCTTGCAGTTTGGAACTGCTGTATATATTGCAGGATGTTTATCAACTATCCACTCTCTAAATGTCACCAGCATCCCTTCATCATGGGATACCCCAAAAATGTTCCTCATCCCTCAATCTCTAAATGCATAAGGCAGGTAACAGTACACTTCTGGGAATAAACTGCTTTATGCAAACCTACCTTTGCTAATTAAGAACTGAACAGTACAAACGTGACCAGCTCTTGCAGCTTTCATTAAAGGAGTTCTTCCACCTTCAGATTCATGCTCCTGTTTAAAAAGTATAGACTTAATTGATATTTAATTACTAATAATTATTCTTTTTTTAAGAATCAAAAGGAAAAGAATTGGATTAATTTCTGAATCTATGTATATCAACTGAAGTAAATTAAAAAATATTATTTTTAAAGTTAAAAAATCTCAAATTAAAAACATGTTCTTTGGAAACAACTTAAGAACTGAAGGTATATTCATGCAATTGTAATACCCTCATCTAAATCCATCTGGGTGCTTTTTCTTTCTCTCTTTACAAAAAGGATTGTGGAACTTGCACAGTGTATAATACTCTAGTACAGCCCTTTTGCAAACAATCAAGCTATTAACATCACGCTCATCCACTCCATGTTATTTTCCTTTCACTAGTTTGAATCCTATCTGTATGAATTTCTGTAAGCACATCATTTCCTTCCCTTTAGAGATGTCTTATTATTCCTATTTCACCTTATATGAAAATAACACAATATCATAATTCTAAAAACCATCAATTATACAATGCTACTAGAGCCTTCTGTGTCTCAAAAGGATGGAGAATCTACTGTATTCTTGTAATTGTTGGGTTATTGAGAACAATACTGGAGAAATTTTCAGATCTTAGAATATAAACTTCGAGAAAAACTACCTTTTGTAAATCACTTTATATTTCCACTGTTTAAAACATTCATATTTGATAAACAACTTTTGATTTTTGTCTTAAGTTACACTATAGGCTGTTTAATTGCAATTACTAAGCAAGCACTAAAGATTACACTACTGTATGTGTCATAGCCACTGAGTTACACAATGGAAACATATTTCTCAAGCTGTAGAAGCTCAAAGTCTAATAAGGGAGACATATGTAATAACTAAATACAATATAACTTATATAATAAGTACTTTAAAAGTTGTTATTAACACATACAGAACTGAAAGAAATCACAGTAATTTAACCCTCTCTTTTCATAAATGAGAAAAGTAGACCAAAAGAAGTTAAATTAGTAAGTTGACAAAACTAGTTACCAGAGGAGCCTGTTTCTGTCTGCATGGGACTTTCTGTCATAAAACTATGAATTCCCACAGGAGAGCTCACATTTGCTTATTAATTTCAGAATCTCAGCCCAATGAACGTATGTTGCTGTTGTTGTTAAGTGCTGTCTAGTGGATTTTGACTCACAGTGATACTTTGTGACACAGTAGAACTGCCCCACAGGGTTTTCTTGGCTGTAATCTTTATAGAAGCAGATTGCCAGGTCTTTCTTCCCACGGAGCTGCTGGGTGGGTCTGAAAACTGTCAACTCTTCCATTAACAGAGCAGCTGAGTGCTTAATTGTTTGCTTACATTCAACTAAAACCTATCTTTTCATGTCTCTCCCCCAACTCCCAAAAGGCTAAAATGGAAGACTAGCTATTCCCCCCATACACATTTGTTTTATGCTTCTCTACCTCTCAGGCTATGCTCATATTATCTTCCAACTGGAATATTTCTTTTGTCATATCTACCTTTTTTTAAACCTTAGCCAGATGACCTCTTTATCTCTTCTCAGCTTCTTTATTCTCTCCACTTTCCTTATGACATCTCTTTAGCCACATTTTCCTTTTTATACCATGTAAGAAATGCTTCTAAAAATAGCTACATACATATGTAAGCGAAAATGAATCTGTATTAACATCTCTATCACAAAATTGTCCTTTTTATTGTGGGGAGTGAGGGGAAGTGGACTGGATAGTCCTACTAATTCAAGGAACCAAATAGTGTAGAAAAAAATGACAAAATGAGATAAAGAATGGTATAAAGGCCAACATAAAATTAGAAATAAAGAAATACTTGTTATCAGTAATCTCCACAAAATTTTAAATCAATTTCTTGCCTTGTTTTTAAATATTAGGATTTAAAAGATAACCTAACTTACCAGATCTGCTCCTGCCTGAAGTAAGACATCTGCCACATCAGTATGACCATTTTCACAGGCATATGTTAGTGCTGTATCCCCTGTTGCTGTGGTTGCATGAACATTAGCTCCTGTAACAGTATTAACAGATAACATGCACTTTATTTAAAAAATCTTTGAAAATGAATTATAGACATAGAAATTTCTCCTAGATAAGCTGTATTTTCTCAAATTAGACAAAATAGCTGTTTCTATAGGGGAAAAAAATACTGTCAGCATCTTTACTCTAAAAAAGAAATAGATTAAAGCTCCAAATACTTTAAATAGCAGTAAGGAAATCATTTATTCAGAATACATCCAAAAGTATATCACACTATTTTTTTAACACACATTCAAGTGTATCATAATATCAGAAAAAAAATTTGTATTAAAATATTTTTACTTAAGTAAATCACGTAAAAATTCTCCCAACTGAAAACAAACAAACAAACAAAAAGCCTACCTGCAGATAATAAGTATTTAACTAATTCCAAATGACCCTCTTGAGCAGCTTCCATTAAAGGTGTAGAACAGCCTAGTTCTATGTCAGCTCCTGCCTTTATTAGAAAGTCAGCTACTTCCAGAAAGCCTCCACAGCAAGCCAGAGTCAAGGCAGTTTCTTGAGTTTCTTCTGTCTGTGCATTGATATTTGCTCCTAAAATAAAGATTCTAATTATTTAAAGCAAGTTAAGTCACTTATTCCAGAGATAAGCAAACATGATTGTTTCCTAATAAACTATACCTCAAAAATGAACTGTTTATATTACTACACTAAATAAGAAAATGTCTCTCTCCTACTCTTGGAGGCCAAAAAAAAAAAAAATTCTATAGTTGGTGTATACAGCTGGAATAAAACCCATTCAACCAGACAAGTACAACAGGTCAGGCAATAAAAGTACTTAGAAAAATAAGCTACATTCTCTCATTATAATAAATAAAAAATGATGATAAAGATGTTGATGATGATGATAATAATAGCTAACATTTAATGCGCTTTTACTATGTGCAAGATATTCAAAATACTTTATATATTGTTTAGGTATTACCTCCATTTTACAGATAAAGAAATTGAGGGTAATTAACTTGCCCAATATTACAATAACATTATCATCATCACCACCACTGCCACAATCACCATAGCTCACATTTAACAAGCACTGTATGACATGCATTATTCTAAGAGCTTTATACATGTATATCATCTCACCTCACAACAAGCCTACAGCTGAGAAAAACTAGGCACAGAGAGATTAGAAACTTGCCTAAAGTCACAAAATTCGTAAGCAGTGGAGTTGTGACTCATACCTCCAGAATTACGCTTTTAAAATTCTAGTTGAATATTATTGCTCAATAAAGATAAAACAATTTTTTAATGTGCCATTCCTCTTAAATTTATCCAAACAAAAACTTTACTATTAAAAGAAAAGTAAAATGAGCCTACAAATATAAAAAGAGATGGGAGACGACATCTGAACTTAAGATATCTTAATACAGTGAAAAAATTGTTTCACTTTTCCCGGAAAAGAAGTCCATTGTGTACTGGGCTTCTTGACAATTTCTAATATGCATTCTAGTAATCTCATCAAGTTAATCCTTATAGCAGGGTTTCCCATACTGTGTTTCATGAAACACCAGATCTCTCAAATACTTATTAATAGGTATTCTGCCCCCTAAGGAATTCCTGGGATATATTAGCTTGAGAAAAATTGAATACCACAGACCCCTCTACATAACCCACATCCCTACACCACCCCAAGTCCTCTCTGTTTTCACTGACATAGCACATGATGGCACTAAAATCTCTATATTAAAGAAGTCTATCTGAATTTCTTTAGGACAGTATGAGGGCCATTTTCACAGCAAATACTTGATCATTAGTTTGGGTAACAACATCTCACTGCATATCTACTAGAAAGATGAAAAACTGAAATTCAATTTTATAAAATTGTAATCTTCAGTTTTACATTATTTATGCATTAGTGCCTTAACTGACATGGTTACCTTGGCCTAGAAGTAATGCCACCATCTCTTCATGTCCTTCGCGAGCTGCTTCCATCAATGGTGTGTAACCTTCATCATTGACCTCTTCCAGGCTAGCTCCTCTTTCAATAAGCAAAGCTGCAAGTTCCACATGCCCACCACATGCAGCCAAAGTCAATGGTGACTCAAATGAATCAGCAGGCATGTTCACTTGGGCACCACTGTCAAGAAGTAACCTAGCTACTTCAACATGGCCATCCTAATTGTAATACAATTAAAAAGAAAAATTAAAAATTTTGAAGACTCCTAATTATTATACAGTGAAATTTACTGATCACCATTTAAATAAGAATTAATAAATCTATATTTAGCAGAGTAAATCAGTATTTATTAAGTTCTGCCTATATTTATTTAGTATAGAAGTTGGAAATAGAGGTTGAAGATATAAAACAAGTAGAAAAATGATACCTTCAATCAAGAAGCTTAACAACCATCAGGGAAGAAAACAGTTTAAGTACATGAAACAAGGGGCTACTATGAGACCAAAGATAACATCACCACTGCATGGTACAAACTTAAGTGCTAAAAGGATAAAGTTACAGAAGGTAAAGGTAAGAGAAAGGTTTTAAAAAAGTAGGATTTTCACAAAACCCTTAATGATAACGAAAACTTGATTAAGTAGAAAGAGAAAAAATGCAGTACTTTTTGGAGGAGTGAAGGGAAGGGTACATGACGGGTTAGGAGAAAGGGAACACAATATGTACATGGCACCTTCTTTGTTGTTCACCATTCAAATGCCAGGGAAAATAAGGAAAACAGGAAGTTCTCTCTTATTATCTTCTGTATCTTTTACTTGTTGCCCTTTCTTGAAGATTTCCTAATTACTGGCAACCCCAAGACTCTTGTGTCCTCTTCTTTTTTCCCTTCTATATATTACCTTCTCAGACATTTTGTTCTCTTTTGAATATGTCATGCTCATTTTTGCCTCCATGCCTGCCACATTACACAACTCTAATGTCTTATTACTATGGTTAGTGTGGTATTCCTTCAGCTCAGAATGCCCTCCTCTGCATAAATATTCAACTTTAAAGTCCAGTTTAAAATCTCCATTTTTAAAAAAGTCTTCCAAATGTCTGGACCTAATAATATCTTTCTACTCACATCTACTTACAACACTCATTTCCAGAGCATATTGTTTAGGTCTACAGAACATCGTTTTTTAATTTCTTAACTTACATATAGGTCGTTTCCCTAATGGGGGTGGTAAGGACGATTTAGGTACTTCATCATAGAGAACAGTAACACTGCTAATAATAATGATACTATTTTAATGGTTTTTGCCAAATCATCTCATTTAATCCTCATGTCAACCCCATAGAAGGCTGTTATCCTCCTTTTACAAATGGGCAACCAAGAAACTTCAAAGAAAACTTGTATTTGTTCAAAGGAATAACTTGCTAAAGCAAACACTGGTATGGCAATAACGGAAAACAATAGATAACTCAAGTCGTAAATGGCTACATAGTATGTTAAAAAAAAAAAAGAACATAAAATTTACTATCCTTTTAACACTTGTTCTCTGAAGGGAAGAGACAAGAAACTTCAAATTTACTTAGGTCTTTTTCTATCTTTGTCTATAATGTTACTCTGATCCATCTCTGTGTCACAAATCATAGAATGAGATACAGAGGTTTAAGAGTACTATTATTATTCATTCCCAAGTAAAGACTCTTAAAAAAGAGTTCTTCAAAAAGGAAGCCAGGGCTCAGAAAAAGACCATGACAGGAAATTATGTAACACAAATAATGCTATACTTTTCAATCTTTTTAAAATTAATTTCACTTTGATATACACGTATTGCTTAGTACTATGTGCACATTCAGAAGATTATATTCTCTTTAATATACTCAAACAACCTTTTTAAACGTCACTTTTTGTACCAACTACAAAAACCAATATAGAGTTATGTGAGAATAAGAAACTGAAAGTGGCAATGTAAAACTTCAGAAAGCAACTCTAATCGAAGTTAATGTTGTACAACAGGATCTGAAAACTATTGATAAAAAACATGAATAATACGTTAAAAAAGAGTAAGGTTCTACTCCACAATAAGTAAGGTTCTACTCCATAATAAGGCTATGATAAATAGAATCTTTGCACCCAAGGAGAAGGTACTCATTATACACTACCTCTGTCTCTCTCCACCTAATATATATTTCATGTATATATTTCACCAATCTTACCATGCAAGCCTCCATTAGAGCTGTATGCATTTCATCTGTTTTATGTTCTTGATCTGCGCCTGCTGCCAAAAGAAATCGCACCATCTCTAGGTGTCCTAAACCAAAAGTATATAAGATTACTTAAAAATATTATTCCACAGTTAAATATAAGAAAAAATTATTATGGTATTTTGAAAATAGTTATATTTAACTTCTAGCATTTAATTTATAAGCATAATATGAAAGTCAGCTACAAGCCACCCTCAACTATTGAACACAAATTTGGTGTTTTACTCCTTACCCTAGAAACTGCTGCTACTAGACTCTCCGATGCAAATGAGTATAGATGCTTTTAAAACCCAACACTCAGAACATCCCCTTTACAAACTTTTAAGAGGTCAGGCATACTACAATTATCATTTTACTTATGCTAAGGATTAAATTAGCTCTCATGAACTAGTAGCCTAGGATAACAATCATTCAAATTATTTCTGCAAGGAAGTTTATTTTAAGTTCCAATAACTAACTGACATACTTTTTAGGAATAACTTGTTGTAAGTCGGGTACCACATATATAAAAACATTCCTAAAATGACACCATTCAATTTATATTTATTCATTTATTTACATATAAACATACACACACATGCACACACACTTGTTTATAAAATTTCAAATAAATCATATACTCTAGTTCAGATAAAGACACCTTATTAGTGGTTAAATACAGACGATAAATTGTATTTTAAAAAGGATTTCAGATACTATGCAAGAAACAAAAAAAAGATTCTTCAGCTTTATTTGGAATGAGCTATAGTTAATTCTTAATCAACTGGAATTGGGGGGAAGGAGTGGATGGTGGAGTCATAAACAGTTAAAATAACTCATTACAGTAAGTGCAGTAAAACAAAACTTATTACATCTGCCACATCTTCTTTTTGCTAACTACCTACCTCCCTTTTCCTGGCATTCTCCCCTTCCAGAGATCTGCATCAGTGTTTACTCTTAGCCTGAGTTCTACCCCTTCCCAATCTCCTCCCTGTCAATCTATGTCCTAGGAAACCTCACCAGAAATAGAGGAAGGGGAGAGGGTCCGTGGATCCCTGGAGATAGCAGAGATGTTCTCCACCAGCTCAGGTCTAGATTCAGCTTCTAATTAAAACCTGCAAGACCCAACCTCAGTTGCCCCTTTTGGAAAGCAGGGTGGGGCTAGAAGCAAAGGGGAGAGGGAAGAGTAATTATGCATAGCTCCATCTCAAAGTTCTTCTGGCCAGCTGGGACTCGGTAGTAAAATACTGCCAGTTCCGGGTTCAAATGTGTAGCTGAAATCAGCCAGCCCTGGAGAGGGTGCCCAAAGGCTTAATTCCTCTTCCCCCAATGAAGATCAGCCTTGGTCTCATTATCAAACCAAGCTGAAGAAGAAAAGGATCTCAGCTGTGCTTCCTTAAGATCATTAAATTAATCTGAAAATCTGTTCATTTAATACCAGATGATCAAAAGCATTTAGATAAAGCATATTTTCAAATTTAACTTAAATTTTAATCATTTATGTACCCAACCATTATTTGGACCATGTTATTTTAAAGAATTTCCAAAAAACATCACACAACCTTGGCCACTCTTAAAAAATAATGGAACAAAACAATAGCAGGGCTTGGACTAGAGTGAAACAATCAAGCACCCAGGGTGAAAAACTTAAGGAGGCACTCAATCAGTCGCATGCAAATGAGGGCCAGCCCTTGAGAATGAGTGCCACCTTAAATTTTGCACCCTGCCTTGCACCAAAGTAGGCATTCACTCTCACTCTCATGCTTCCAAAAAGTGCCTCCCTTGAGCTTTTTCATGATGCCTCAGGGTCATGAATTTATCAGTTATTTTAGATACAAATATGGCACAGCTACAGATGGTATGAAACACTGAAATGAATTAATATGCAGACACAAAATATCATGAAATTTGCTTTTTCTAAAAAAAGGTCTTTACAAAGGTGGAGTCAAAAATGTTCAGCTCTGTTCTTTTTAGAATCTAGAGCATTAACTATTCAAAACAAGCACGCCTTTCCAGGCAATTGTCCTCCCAAGGGAGGCTATTTTTCTGTTATTACCAATATTTTCTGGTTAGCTGATGTCATTTAAAATATTTTAAATATTTCTCTTCTTGTACCTCCTCCTTTCTCTTCAATTTTTCTGCTTTGTTTTTGGTACCATTAGAAATAGCTGGCTATTTTCATTGCTTTTACTTTTAAACTTGCTGGTTGAATACTTCCAGATTTACGAGTAATAGAATTCTTTTGTGCAAAGAAGGCAAAATACTCTGACATGCAAGACTATTAGAACAGTGCATATTAAAATTAAATAACTTCATATTTCTGATGAAATAAGTAGATCAATTGAGTCATTTTCTATTGCCAATATTTATGAGTCTATATTTTAAAAATTTACATATTAAATGTTTTAACTTTAAATACTTTTAATATTTAATTACATCCTATATACTATTATTCATATTTTAGTTTTACTTTTCATCTTAAAAAACCAGACTATATAAAATACCTGTAATTTCACGTGTTTAAAAACTTTAAGAAAGGATTGCATTCTGTACCTTTGTAACAAGCTAATGTAAGTGCACTCTCTTTAAATTCATTGGAATGCGTATTAATGCCAGCCCCATTTTCTAGCAGCAATCTGGCTACTTCCACATGTCCAGCACTTCCAGCTTCCATAAGAGGAGTATGACCATTTTCATTATGGTCCTCAATACTAGCACCGGATTCCAAGAGCACCTTTACAACATCTACATAGCCTCCAGCACAAGCATATGTAAGTGCTGTATTGCCTGTTTCAATGAGGAAAGACAAAAAGACATTAACATAAAAATGTAGCCTCTAATTCAAATGAAGCCTCTAATTTAGCATCATGAAGAAAACCAAAATGGTGACTACAGTCTTTATATGGGGTGTGCGTGCGTGCGTGCGTGCGTGCGCGTGCGTGTAGGGTCACTATAAGTCAAAACTGACTCGACAGCAACAGGTTTTGTGTGTGTGTATATTTATATAAACTTAAAATGCCTTTCTTCATTATATTTTATCAGCTCCGCATTCTTTCTCCACTGAAAACCAGGGTCAAATACATGTGGAAAATCAGATACATTTATCAAGATTCTAGAGTTGTAAAAAAAATGAGGAAATTCTTCCCTGAAAAAACTTTTTCAGATGAGAAAAAAGTTATGTTCATTCTAACTTTAATCAGAGAATGTTTCACACACTTTAGTTTTTTCATTTAATCTTTTCAAGCTAACAGCGTGTGTGTGTGTGTACACATACATCCATATCGTTCCTTTTAACTATGTGTATTTGTTTTCACTACAACTTTAAACACCAAGTAACCGATCGAAGTTAAAGTAATTTCAAAAACATTCTTGATGATAAAAATCTCCCACATAACAAAAAAATAAACCTTTTGGGTAATATAAAGATTTCTAAAATTCTTCAAACCAGAACTTTTGGGCCTTAAAAATTATTGAAAGTATCTAAAAATAAAGTTGAAAATCTTACATGAAGGAAAAACAAAATACATTTCCATACAATTTGAGAGTTTTCACACAAATCTATCCAGGCCCAAGATTGCAATAAAAAAATTAGTTTAGACTAAAGTCATGTCCCTTGCAGGACACAATGTTTTCATAACATTCTATTTTTCTATGGTCACAATTTAATAATGGCAGGGGATGATGGACCTGCCTTTTGTTCCTATTCTTCTTGCTCTCCCCCTTACTCTAAACCACATACGGAGTCTTACGCAAGTTGTACAGCACATATTAGAACAGCAAAAGAATCACTAATGATCATTTTCATATGAAACATTTACTACCAAAGTGTATTACCATACAGCAAAAAGAAAAAAGAAATATGCATTACCTGTTGAAGACTGTGCATTGACATCGGCTTTATGAGCTAGCAGCAACTTCACAATTTTGACATGTCCCCCATTAGCAGCAGCCATTAAAGGTGTAATGTCACCTTTGATTCCCCTATCTTCCACATTTGCATGCATTGCTAACAAAACCTTATGGAAAAAAAAATAAAGTTTAAAGGATACTAGCAAATGATGATTCCATCAAAAAAATGTCGAAGATAAATTTAAGTAACACCTATCTATTCAAAATATAGTAAAAGGACCAATAAACATAGAACATTTAGCTAGCAATTTATTTGTTGAAATGAACCTAATGGTGGAAATGGTTTTACTTTATTATTTCCTTAATAAGTATGCCATATAACAAAACACGAGCTTTATTTGGATAATACAAACCTGTGCAAGCTCATAGTATCCAGCAGAACAAGCTAAACAAAGGAGGCTCTCCCCTTCTTCAGTGTGCTCATTTACACTTCGTCCTTCGATGAGTAACTTGCGCACAGCATTTACATCTCCTTCTGAACAAGCTTCTGCTAAACTGCGGCTATTAGGGGAAGAATATTATAAGGATAGAAGAATAGAAAAAATTTCACAGTAGTGCTACACTAGAATGATTATTTCTATATGATCCATAACAAAAAGAAATCTGAAAATGCTAAAGTTCACTGAGTTTTTAATATCTATATTTAAAGGTTACTAAATTAAAAATATTAATATTCAAAATTTTTTCAGTTATGCAACTACAGGATAAAGTCTAACTTACTAGAAGTGGAGAAATAACATAAAATTTTAAAATATAAAAATTTTGTAGAAATTACATGAACAAAATACAGGTTACAATTAGTTTTTTGTCCAACCATTAGAAAATTTTTATAAAATTTAGAAGTATTTAATAAAAATGGGCAAAATTTGTACTAACTATAAAGGCCTACAATCTTACAATTAATTAAAGGAAAATCAGACCAAAAAGATGGGAACATGTAATTTTGACCAATATATGACTAGCTGATAAGGAGAGTTTTTTTCCTGAAGTATTTACTTATACCATTATGTTTTAGGAAAGTCTTAAAAATATCCAGAAAAGGAAAAAAGCCAAATTCACGCAAAAGGATAGTGGAAATAATACAAAAATTAACTAAGAGAAAAGTTCTTGCCCTGTAACCCTCCCCAAACAATTTCAACTATGGACATTCTTAAAGATTCTCTTACTTTTGAATAAAATCCATTCTTAAGAAGAAGAAAAAAAAAAAAAACACTAAATCTAGTGCTATTAATTAATACACTCTCTTTCAAATATTTAACTCAATTCTTCTAACACCCTCTTGAAACATGGCCTTGTCACTTCAGATACTCAAGGATTATGGATAACCTCTTATCTGTACCTCTATTATTACCATCACCCAGTTTCAAGATCATCATCTTTTGCCCAGTCTCTCTGGTTTTACCCTGGCTCTCATGCAGGCTTTTCACAACAAGCCAGCCAGAGAGATCCTATTTAAAGGGAAGTAGTTATGTCACTCCCCTGGCTCACAACCCTCCACTGGCCTCCAATCTCAATCAGGGAAAAAGCCAAAATCCCTATCAGATCTGCCCAGTTGCACAACCCCACTCACCTCCTCACTTTTACCTCTGACTTCTCCTACTACACTCTCCCTTATTGTTTCCACTTGAGCCACGCTGGCATTCCTCCTATTCATCAAATATGCTAAGTAAGCTCCAGTCTCAAAGATATCTGCATTTGCTGTACCTCTGCATGAAGGCTCCTCTCCCAGACATAGCTCTGCTCCTTTCTATTTCAGATCTTTGCTTAAAAAAAGCCATCTTTTTAGTGAAAAATTCCCTGACCACCTTATTAAAAAGGCAACACGACCTTCAACCCACAAAAGCTGCCCTAGCACTTCCCTGTCCAACTTTTTTTCCTACTTCTTATCATCATGTGCTATACTAATATATTTTACTTACTTGTTAATTGTATCCTTCCCCTACACCAATATTCCAACATGGTTGAGGTCTCTCTCTCTCCCCCTCTTGCACAAGCTCTTCTAGTTTTCCACTTGGATTTTCACTTATTTCTCTATGTGTATGCTAGCTTTAAAATAAAGTTACAGAAACTACGCTAACAACAGGTTTCAGAACTTGTACTAAGGACACATTAAATCTGGCATATGGCACTGCACTTAACTAATATAGTCTGGCACATAACGCTCAACTGCACTTAATTCCACCATATATCTATCTCAAGCTTTGTTTGAATAAATATGATTGTCACAAACATGCTCTCTGTTGTTATTTGGCTGACAGCTTTCAGTATTTTCAATGCCAAACATCCTACAACTTTTTATTTTTCTATTCTACTTCCTGCTTCAACTAGATTCAACGTATTCTTCAAGCATTTTTTGTCTTCCCTCTTGCCAGACATAGCAGGTATCATACAAAAAAAATTTCTGGAGAGTATCAAGAATACTTTAGGCTAAAGACTGCATGTTAATTAAGGAATAGAATCTGAGGTTAACTAAAGAAAGAGAGCCAATCTACGAGAAAAATGAGACAGTAAATTAATAAAAACACAAAAATTGATTCCAAAAACATTCGGCAAATAAAAACCTTGCCCACTAGAATATGGCATGAGTAACTGGAAAGCATTTACTTCTTTGTCACCAAAAACATTAAAAGGAAACAACATTTAAATAAGCAAAAGGTCTTTTATAACCTATTAGTTATGAACTCAGCCTTACAGTCAGACAGATACATACTAGTGACCCAGGATGGACACAATTTGATCTTGAATAATTTACTAACCTCTCTTTAGTGTTTTCATCTGTAAAATGGGAATTAAAAAAAAAAGTCTATACCGTATAGAATTTTGTAAATATAAGTATCACATGTAAAGTGCTTATTTAGCACAGTGCCAGACACAAAATAAATGCTGTAATGTTAGCTATTTGTATTATTTATAAGAAAATGCATTCATACCGATCACAGTGAAAATCCACTTACTTGTCCGACTGCCCTGCATTTGCTGTGCTCTCAGCTCTCATACGAGTAAGTGCAGCAGCAGCTTCATCCAACGCACAACTAACAGACGAGGTCAATCTCCGAAGAACTTCAGGGTCTGCAAAGGCTTTACCATCAGCTGTGGATAATTTGCCTATTCCTGGCATGTTATTTTTCACAGCAATATGGATACACCCAAAAGGAGAAACAAAGCAAAATTCAAGTTATTTAAACCTATATATTATATTTTAACAATACTCTGAAATAACCTACAAATGGTACAGTAGATATATAGTCAGCCTAGCATTTTTTAGGAAATTATTCTTCTCTAATAATTTTATTACTTCCATTTGGTTCTTCAATACTTGACCCTGTGCCCCCTGATGTCAGAAATGGGTCATTGACCTATGCTGAGACAATTCCGAGCCCTCACTTAGGTGTTTGTCAGAGTTGTGAAAGAAGAACCTATGTTCAAAGGTTGCTAAATTAGTAAAATATGAGTCATAAGTTCTCTGGTCACTTTTATTACCAGAGAGAAAAACTGGCCCAAATAAAGTTAACATAGAGGAGAATAGAACAGAGAGATAGAAAAGAGACAAAGTCCTAATAAAATTACTTTCGAGGCACTGACACCAGTAGTGCTAAAAGTCAACACTATCCCTATACTTTTTACTTATAATCTAGCAAATGCTGACTTTTCCTTCAGAAAGTTGGGTTACCAGCACTTGTGACAAAATATGGCCTAATAAAACATTCTAGGTTATATACAAGAGATAACATTTATATGATTGCCTCTTATTTTAGTTATGACAGCAACTTATAACATATACTCAAACTCCTACCTAAGAGTTGCCATATCTAAAAAAGTCAGAGTAGCAAAAGAAAAAATTTTTTCAAAAGCAGAAATGCTTAGTAAGCATCTACATGAAACATAACTTACTGCTTTTCTAGAAAACACTATAATAAAGCGAGCTGGCCTCTAGCTTTTATTATTCTAACACAGTGGTGCTTATTAATCCAGGCAATCCATCAGCATTACCTGTGGAGATATTCAAAAATACAGATACTATATCGTGAGGTTTAATTAAGTAGGAGGTCTATACATATTTAAAGCTCTAAAGTGATTCGGATGCACAGTCAAGACTGAGAAACTTTGTTCTAACTTGACGATAAATATGATGTTAGGAAAGATATTATACAACCCTGCTACTCAACATGTGGCCCACAGAAACACTGCCATCTCTTTGTGACCTTGTCAAAAATGCAGAATCTCAAGCACAACACAACATGTACTAAGCCAAAACCTGTATTTTTAACAAGCTCTGCGAGTGTTTAAGATGCAGGTTAAAGGGAGGCAGGGCCAAAATGGCAGAGCAGTCAGATACTTCCGGTGGACCCTCTTACAACAAAGACCCAAAAAACAATTGGATTGATTGTACATGGCAATCTGGGAGCCCTGAACATAAAAGTCAGAGTTGAGGAACCAGACTGAGTAGCAGGGTGAGGGAGAGACAGTTCGGAAGCGGCGAGCAGTTGCAGAGGAGTTGCCAGACCTGACCAGAGAGTACCTGAGCCCTTCAGGCCTGAGCAGCTCGCGGGTGAGCGGTAAGACAGGCAAGTGGTGGTGCTCGGGAGGCGCGTTTTCCACACCAGGAGAGACCCAGCACCAGAGAGTCTACACAGCCACCCAGAAACAGTGACAAGCAGCCCTGGACCAGGGAAAGTTAAGTACTTGGGTACAGCCTACTGCACAGATCAAAAACACGACCCTTAGGGAAAAACCTCTCTCCCATTTACCTCCCCGCTCCCTGCTCTGCAATGAGTCGCGGACCAGCTTCAGCAATTGCCCAGTCCCTTAGGCCGGAAGGGCAATCAGTCACACGCCCGGAGCCATTCTCCCTGCCTTGGAGAGTGAACAGATTAACAGAGGGGAAAAAATAAACTGCTGGCTCCCCTAAGCCATGAACCCAGGGTAGGCACAGCTCCTTTGCCTAGGCACAGGGATAAGGGATCCACGGACTTTGAGTGCCTTTCCCCCTGCATAGACTTCTGTGGGCCTATCTCAACAGCGTAAGCTCTCATTACCGCAGTACAACAGAGTATATAGAGGAACTCTAACTTCAACTGTTTCAGCTGTGAAATGGCAGCTTCTTGATATTTGACATGACTCTCCCATTAAGCAGGCTCTTCGCCTACCCACATCAGGGGCCTGAGGACTGGTGGCTCCACCTACACCACCTAGCCACCTGCGATAGGGATTCATAAATAAGAAGTGCCCCCCCAAGTACTTAGAGACAACAACATTAGGTACTCATAGTCCAACTGCAAAACCCACCTATTTATGTGCTCTAGGGAACAGGGACACACCTACCTCCTGGACACTCGGGGGCAACCGTCAGCCCCCTGCATTGCTCAGAGTGTGTCCCTCTGCTGCACCCAAATGCCTGCGCATACGCCAATCATCCATACCTCTCTAGGACTGTAGGTGAGAGCCTACACTACACGCTTGGTGGCTATCTACCTGGGCAGCTGAGCTGAATCCATGCAGGAATAGGGGGACTCCTGAGCTCACATACCTACTAACAGATCTAACCACCTGGCGACAAGACATTAGAGCTTCAAAGGTGCCAATAATCAAAGTAGTTCATACGAGCAGCCTATTTGGGCATATCAAAACAAAACAAGAAGCTAGGACACAGTAAACAAACATAAAATAAATAAATATAATAACATATTGATGGCTCTGAGACAACAGTCAATATCAAATCACATAAAGAGGTAATCCATGATGGCTTCAGCGAGTTACGAAAATACAGAACCTAGAAATTTTCCAGAGGAGGAAAATTTCTTGGAATTACCGAAGGCAGAATACAAAAGAGTAATACAGAACTCTTCAAGAAATTAGGAAGGAAATTGAGCAAAACGCAGAACATGCAATAGAGGAAATTTAAAAGATTAGAGAAGAGCATAACGACAAATTTAACAGGCTGCAAGAATCCACAGAGAGACAGCAATCAGAAATTCAGGAGATTAACAATAAAACTTCACAATTAGACAACTCAATAGCAAGTCATAGGAGTAGAACTGAGGCAATGGAAGCCAGAATTAGTGAGACTGAAGATAAAGCACTTGACACCAACTTATTTGAGAGAAAATCAGATAAAAGGATGTAAAACAAATGAAGAAACCTAAGAATTATGTGGGACTCTATCAAGAGGAATAACCTACAAGTGATTGCAATACCAGAAGAAGAGGGAATAAAACAAAATGCAGAGAGAATCATTGAAGATTTGCTCGCAGAAAACTTTCCTGATATCGTGAAAGATAACAAGATATCTAGCCACAATGCTCATCGAACTCCACATACGACAGATTCCTAAAGACAGTCACCAAGAAATATTATAATCAAACTCGCCAAAACCAAAGATAAAGAAAGAATTTTAAGAGAGGCTAGGGATAAACGAAAAGTCATCTACAAAGGAGAATCATTAAGAATAAGCTCAGACTACTCAGCAGAAACTATGCAAGCAAGAAGGCAATGGGATGACATATATAAAGCCTTGAAGGGAAAAAAAAACGCCAGCCAAGAATTATATATCCAACAAAACCGTCTCTCAAATATGATGGTGAAATTAGGGCATTTCCAGATAAACAGAAGTTTAGGGAATTTGCAAAAACCAAATGAAAATTACAATACTGAAGGGAGTCCTCTGGTTAGAAAATCAGTAACATCAGATAACAACCCAAGACTAGAACACAGGACAGAGCAACCAGATTATCAACCCAGATAGGGAAGTCACAAAAGTAAATCAAAGCTAAAACACTGAAAATAGGGAAACAGATGTCAATATGTAAAAGACGAAAACACTGAAACAAAAAAGAGGAACTTAAAAAATGTAGACATACATTTTTCATATGGAGAGGAAGTCAAGGCGATATAAAGAAATAAAAGACTGGTATACACTTGGAAAAATAGGGGTAAATATTAAGGTAACCACAAAGAAAACTGACACTCCTACACATCAAAATAAAAAACTGGAAAAAATATAAAGATTCAGCAAACACAAAATCATCAACAATTAAAAAGATGAAAAGAAAATACATAAAGAAATTGTGAACAACACACAAAAAAAGACATCAAAATGACAGCACTAAACTCATACCTATAAATAATTACGCTGAATGCAAATGGACTAAATCACCAATAAAGAGACAGAGAGCGGCAGATTGGATTAAAAAAACAAGATCCGTCTATAAGCTGCCTACAAGAGACACACCTTAGACTTAAAGATACAAACAAACTAAAACTCAAAGGATAGAAAAAAATATATCAAGCAAACAATACTCAAAAAAGAGAAGGAGTGGCAATATCAATCTTTGACAAAATAGATTTTAAAGAAAAATCCACCACAAAGGATAAGGAAGGACACTATATAGTGACTAAAGGCTAAATACAACAGGAGGACATAAATAAATATTTACGCACCCAACAACAGGAATCCAAAATACATAAAACAAACTCTAACAGCAACGAAAAGAGAGATAGACAGCCCCAACAATAGTAGTAGGAGACTTCAACACACCATGTTAGATAAAGGAAAGAACATCCAGTAAGAAGCTCAGCAAAGACACAGAAAAGCTAAATGCTACAATCAACCAACTTGACCTCACAGACATATACTGAACACTCCACCCAACAGCAGCCAAGTACACTTTCTTTTCCAATGCACATGGAACATTCTTCATAAGAGACCGCATATTAGGGCATAAAGCAAGTCTTAACAAAATCCAAAGCATCGAAATATTACAAAGCATCTTTTCTCACCATAAAGCAATTAGAGTAGAAATCAACAACAGAAAAAGCAAGGGAAAAACATCAAACACATGGAAACTGAACAATACCTTGCTCAAAAACTCCTGGGTTATAGAGGAAATTAAGGATGTTATAAAGAAATTCAGAGACTCAAATGACAATAAAAACACAGCCTACCAGAACCTTTGGGACACAGCAAAAGCAGTGCTCAGAGGTCAGTTTATAGCAATAAATGCACACATCCAAAAAGAAGAAAGGGCCATAATCAAAACATTTACCCTACAACTGGAACAAGTAGAAAGAGAGCAGCAAAATAAGCCCTCAGGCACCAGAAGAAAGGAAACAGT